CACTCCTCTTCCTTCACCTGGGCCCTGCCAAGCACTGTCAGTGTCCTCAAGACAATAGTGTGTTCTCTCTTGTGTGAATGATCCAAGAGAAGTGTGTGTGGCAGTGGGGGAAGTCCAGGGTGGAAGCCACAGTCTTGATAACCTAATCTCAGAAGTGACAATGTGAGAAGGACTACACTGGGGTGTAAAAAACCGGAGTATAGGCTCTAGGAATTTGGTTTCCACAGATGACTACTGGCTGTCAGAAATGTTCTTTTCTATCCACACATACTTACGATAAAGTTTTGCTTTTTATTCATTACTCTAGGTCAGTGTTCTCAGCTCAGGTACTACTGACTTTTTGGGCCATATCTCTGTATTAGGTCTTCTGTGTGTGTTTTCAGTGACTGTATTATCCTCTACCTGACAGCAGCTTGCCAACCCTCCCACCCCTCCAAGTTGTAACTATCAGAAGTGTTTCTAGACTTTGCCAGGTGACCCTGAGGGGAGGCATGCAAAATTATATCCAGTTGAGAACTGGATGCAGATGTTTCTGGTACTGAGGGTAGGGTTTTAATCATTGATTCTGCTTTATCAAGCATGAGTTTCAAATTAGGAAAATTTAAGACCCAAACATTGATCTTTCATGTAGAATAGATATACTATAGTATTAAAATGAATTTCACTTTTGCTAATTTAAAAATAAAGCCTTTTAACTGTTCCTCACAAGGCAGACAGTACAGTTTAGAACTTGGAAAGAGGAGCATTTCAGTTGAAAGCATTTTCAGGTCAGTACTAAGGTGTATAATGTTTGGTTATTAATAGTGTTTGTGGCCGGATGTGGTGGTGTACACTTGTAATCCTAGCACTTGGGAAGCTGAAGCAAGAGGATTGCCATGAGTTCAAGGCCAGTGTAGAATACATATAAAGATGCTGTCTCAAAGTGTTTGTCCTGGAATTGTTTCAGCCGACAAGGGTTTAAAATAGTAAGGGTTTTTTTTGGTGATGTTAGGAATTAAACTCAGGGTCTCGTAATGCTAAGCAAACACTGTACAACTGAGATACTCCTCTAACCCTCAGTAGTGCTTTATTAGGCTGACTTCCTATCATAATGTACTTCTGTGGCGGTAGATATCATTTCCAGTCAACTGGTCTACTGAGAGTGCCTCTAATTACACAGTTCTGGTGGAAAGATTAGATGAGTAGATGTCTGATAAAACAAAATAAAATGTTACTTGCTGAACCTTAAATGCAGGTATTAACTTTCAACTTTTTGTGTACTTGAAAATTTTCATCAAAATTTTGCCATTGTGCTTGTAGGTGTGGCTGCCATTTAAAGAGAAGACAAGTTTTCCTATCTGCTGTCTTTTGTGGACTTCCTTTTCTGTTTTTTTCTAAAGATTCATAAAGACTGGCTGGGTTTCTCTCTTCTGACTGATCTGTAAACACAAATGGGATAGGCATTATAGTTAGGTTCGACTTTTTACTTATAAAAAGGCTTATAGCCAAAAAGTTGTAAGCAAATTTGAAAGTTTATAATAGGAAAAAATATGTGAGAGCCTGACATCTTTTAACTTTTAGACTTTTGAGCTACAAAGGTGGTAAAAGAAAATTGTCTTTATTAAAAGATATGGGCTTACTATTTCTGGTTTTTCTGTTTTTTTTGAGATAGGGTCTCACTATGTAGTTGATACTGACCTGTCACTCACTATGTAGCCCAGGCTGGTCTTGAACTCACAGCGATACTCCTGCCTCAGCCTCCCAAGTGCTAGGATTATAGGCGTGCACCACCAGGCCCGGCTGGTATGGGCTTATTTTTAACATAATATTAAATTGAATTAGCTATACAGTAACATTTTGTGTTTGTCTAAGTATTAAAATCCTACTGATCTAAATTTTAAAAAATAATCATAGTCTCTGAGCCAGACCGAATGAGAGCTAGGGATCTGGAACACTTTGGCTTGTAATTTAGAAGGGGAATATTTGCTTTTGTTTTCTAGCTAGCACTATGTTTTTACAAGTTGCAGCATAGTATTTATGTGCAAGCATGCCTTGAAGCTCCTACTTTTTCCTTCTTAGAAAAGTGTGCTTGCCACTTTTTACACATGATTACGTTTTCTTTTCACAAGTTATTCTGAGAGAAGAAACAGAGTTAGCAAATGCTATCAGATAATACATTCATTCCAGACACTGGTAAAATTGATATTTGTACTTATGAAGCGTTCTTTGAAAATTTTTTTGTTGTTTTTTTGAGACAGGGTCTCACTATGTAGTTTAGCCTGGTATTGAACTCACTGTAGCCCCAGGCTGGCTTTGAACTCACAGTGATCCTCCTTTCTCAGCCTCATGAGTGCTGGAATTACCAGCATGTGCCACCACACCCAGTTAGAGATAATTTTTTATGAAGAACATACATATGTCTCCCTTGATTATGATCTTTAAAGTCCTGAGGATATTTCCATTGCATCCTTATCATTACTTTAATAAGTATGTATAGGAAACTGGTGGTAGGGTGCTAGGTCAGTTGTTTGGTTTAGCAGTACTAGGGTTTGAACCCAGGGCATTCACAATGAATTACATCCCCACCCTTTTTAAATTTTTTGTTCTAATGAAGGATCTTACTGAGACTCTTATGTAACCCAGGCTGGCCTTGAACTTGTTGTCCTACTGCCTCAGCCTCCCAGGGCTGAGGGGTATGCCAGATAAATTTCAAAGCTCTTCCTAGTACATTGACTCTTGAAATGGTAGAAAATGTACATTGACAAGGTACATCACCTTTCCTGATCCAGCAGATATTCTCTGAAACTGCCCCTTTTATTTTAAATATTAGAAGACAGTGGACTCCATGTAAAATAGATCATGGAAGCACTGTATCATGTAGTGTACAACTGGCCAGAAATAAATGGGCAGAGAATTGACAGGCTTTGTGGTAAAACAACTGTTTAAATTTTCAAATTGGAAACATTCAAAGGAGAGAGACTAGTCATTGCAGAGCAGAATTTGTAACACATGCAGAACATGGATCCACAAACTTTGTAAAGGGCTAGGTAGTAAATGTTTTAGGGCTCTGTGGGACATAACAGTCTACCTTACAACTGCTCTTCTTTGCAGTTGAAAGTAAAGAACCATAGGGACTATGTCAGCGAATAAGCGTGGCCGTGTTCCAATAAAACCTTACTTATGTACATTGAAATTTTATTTTCATATCATTTTCAAATGTCACAAAGTGTGTATCTTTTGATTTGTTTTCCTCCCAGCATCTTAAAACTGTTGAAACATTCTTAACTCCCAGGTCATACAATAACAGAGGATACACTATATTTACTGATCCTGAGTCTCAGTACAACATGACACATTGGTGGGGTAGAATCTGTCCCATGGCCTAATTTGCTTTGCATCTTTTCTTTCTTTTTTTTTTTTTTTGAGAAAGGGTCTCACTACGTAGTTGAGACTGACCTGGAACTCACTATGTAGTCCAGGCTGGCCTCGAACTAACAGCGATCCTCGTGCCTCAGCCTCCCGAGTGCTGGCTTACAGGCATGTGCCACCACGCCCAGCCTGCATCTTTTCTTAATATCAAAAGAAATACAAAAGAAAACGTAAAATTTGTTTTATTGTGGGAGGAGAATAATAAAGTGGTAATATAAGAGATGGTATATGTAGTAGGACTTGATGGTATTAAAGCACTGATGTTCTTCAGATCTGCTAGAAACACAAAAGAAGCACAGTTCCTTAAACTCAGAAGTAGGAAGAATGTGGTACTCAGTTGAGGATGTCTTTTGGATTTCACTGCAGAACATTTTGAAGATTCTAGCAGCATAGTTTCATGATACATTGCTTAGAATGACCTCTGAGTCCTGAGTGTCTTCTCTAAGTACACAAGAAAATAAAAGGAAAGAACCTGTATGTTTTACTGGCTTTTGCTGTAATGGATCTCCTGCATCTGTTATTTAGAGACAAGCTTAAGTGAGGAAAGGATTGCTACTAATTTAATCAGCATTTGGGGAGTTAGTGTTGGCATAATATTTGGAAGTGGTGCAAAATACAAAATATTTTCAGAGTTTGTTTTGTTTTGTTTTCTTTGGTATCAAGTATTGAACTCAGGACCCTGTGCTTGTGAGGCAGGCAGGCAGAACCACTGAGGTAAGTCCCTGACCCTATTTTCAGGTTTTGATTCAGGAATGTAGGTTGGAATTTTACCGATCTTGTTCCACTTGTAACATAGTGAAAATGTATTTTCCTTACTTTGATTTCTTTCATCTTCTAGGGCTGATGAAAAAAAAAAAGTTGACTCGCTTGTAAGGAAATACTCCCAATCAAGGAAATAGCTAATATTGCAAAAGACAGGCTAGAACCAGTTAAATCACATCCCATAAAGAATGGGTAGAAGAAAACAGCACAAGAAGAAGCACAATCAGTTATTAGGGTGTTTCATTTCACTGAGTCCAATTGGAATTTATTTCTGTGTTTTTATTTTTAACCCTAACTTCTTTTTTCAAAATGAGTTTTATATATTTGCTTAATATCAAGGACAACATTACATTTTAGTAACTTTTGTTATTTAATTTTTTTTTGTTCATGGATTTTTGTTTGATGCTTTATAAAAGAAAATTTAAGATATGCTAGAAGTTTTAAAGTTGCATAATTTCATTTGAAACTGGTAGTTGGCAATATTTAAAAATAAAATTGCTGGTAAATGTATAACTTTGGATTGTTTAATGTATCCAACCAGTTGAAGTTACTTTGAACTTTAATAATTATCTTTTGATCCTAAACTAACAAAATGACTTTAGATATTTTAAAAGTACTTTGAAATATAAGTAAAAATTTCATCATTCTCCTATTTATTTTGTCTGGGGGGAAATAAACTTTACTTGTAGTTTTATGATGAAATTAACATATCTGGTTGGCTAATAGACTGGAATGAAGTTAAGGAAGCTTAGGGTCTTTCCATTGGAAGATCAGAGAATGTTCAGTGACGTAACTGGAGTTGATGAGTTCTGTTTGTCACTTTTTTTCAGTGAAACCAGCAGTGTGTGTAGCAGCAGTGACACTGGGCTCTTTACCAATGATGAAGGACGGCAAGGTAATTTCTATCCCAGCTCTTTGACTGTTGGTTCAGTATTTGTGGGGAAGATTCTGATCATATTAGTGACTCACTGAGAATATGATGATTGTCTATGGCAGTTCTTAAAACTCTAGACACATAGCGAGTCATGTGGGAAACTATTAACACTGTAAATTCCTGAGCTCCTAGAAAGCAAATAGGCCTAGAATTGACCCCTGGAATCTGCATTTTTTCTGAGCGTTTGAAGTGATTCTTATTCAGGTTATTCAGATCTTGAGTCTCTTGGTCTCGGACAGTGATGGTGACTTCAGCACTTTCAGTGATAAGAAACAGTTGACTTCAGCACTTGTGCCACAAGTTTGTCATCACTGGTCTAGAGGTTTAGAGTGCCAAGGCTGGGACTTCAGGAATACCTTTTCTTGGAACCAAGGAATATTTTTATGCACTGGTCTCCTTTTTGGATAAAATATTTTTATTTTTACAGAGGGAGAATTTTACCTTATTTCTAAAAGATTATAGTGTTATGGGTGAATATTTTATATAAAAAGTTTACTTTCTCAATTTAAAATGCCCAAAGATTAATATAAATATACTAATATATACCAATTAGTATAAATATATACCATGAATAATGGTAGTATGTGTTAATCACCAGCTCTTTATTTTTACTTCCTAAAGAGTAATTTGAAACTTTACATTGGTATAAAGCCATTTTACACAATTCTTCTTCTCTAAACTTATGTAGGGTCACACTACTTGTGCAGCAGTAAGAATTTTGTGTACCCTCTTCAGGTTATAGTTTTCTTAATCTATGTAAAGAGTTTATAGATCTCTGAAGTCCCCTCTAGCGATGAAATCCTGTAATTTTTCTGCCAAGGTAAGTGGTTAAAGGACCATATCTAGGTCAGTCTAGTTAGGTTCCCTAGTAATTCAGGTGTCCAGGTCCTGACTTTGGAAAAGGACTATGGGGAGAGTGTCTCATCCACACCTGAGTTGTAGGCACGGAGACAGCTTCATCGCCATGGAGTCATTGTGGTTCCTCCCATAGTGGAGATCATTGTGAGCACATTTGTCCTCTCTGATTCTGAGGGAACCAGGTGTCATTTGAGGCTGTGGGTGTGCCGGCAGGCTCCTCAAGCTAGGGTTGATTCTGTTACCTCATACTAAGAAAGTCTGGTTGTCTAACCTGAATGATCTGATGTGTGCTCTAGTTACTAATATTTGCCCTTTTTCTTTGCTTTTACTTCTTTTTAAAAATTATGATGCATAATTATACCAAGGTTTAAGAAAATTTAGACTTGTTACAGCAGTTAAGTTTTTGAGCCTTTGGTAAGTCTTCACTAATAAGGACTGCTAGATTTATCATGAACGATAGAATATTCTGTATTCCCAATTCTCTTCTTTTTCTCTGCCTCACCTTTACACAGTCTAGTGATATTTAGATGCTTAATGTTCTCAGCACAGAGCAATGCTATTTTCTGTTTCCATGCCTTTGTTCATGCTGGTCTGTGTCTGAAATCTTGTCCTTACCCACCCTTGACTTGTTGGTCATCCACCCAGGCAGCTTTCCATTAGCCCCTTCCTAGGCATGTTTATGGACTATGTCTGTGGATTTTCTTGCTCACAATTTTTTGTTGGGTTTGGATTATAGGCGGCATCAGCAGAAGATTGGAGAGAAATGAACAAGATTGGTTTTATTAGTCAAATTTTTATCGTGATAATGTTGCTTAACAGCCCTACAGTTTCAGTGGTTGACCACATCTGTTTCCTGCTGTGGGATTGTGGGTTGGCTGTAGTTCAGCTGATCTTGCCTGGGTTCATCTGCTCTCCAGGCTTCAAATTTTATTTACTCTTGTGTGTTTTTTAGGCTATAGAAGCAATGGCTATATGCAGGGTGGAATTCTCATGGCGAAAGACATAAATGCTAAGTGACGAAGCCAGACCATGCACACATATTTAAGCCTTTGTTTGAATCACATCTATTAATGTTCTGCTACTTTCAGCAAGTCATATGACCAAGCCGAGTGTCGTTACGATGAGGATGTGTGCTCTGTCTAATGGAGAAGGAAGGCACTGGCCAATGGCAAAGGGCAAGGATGTGGAAGAATTATTCTATTATAGGAGTGCTGAGGACACTGGATTATAGCTTTTCCTAGCTCTCTTTCTGTTGAATTGTCAGTTGACAGTCATTTTGTCCCTCTGTTGAAAACCACTCCTCCTTTTTGGCAGACTTTGCCCACCACTGCAGTTCTTTCCCTGGGCTCTGATAACCATTCTTTCCCACTCTAAGTGTAGCACTGGTAAAAACTCCCTGCTGTTCTGGCTCTGTAAATCAGCATTTCTTGTTGGTTTCCTCGTCTGTACCTTTGTAAATAGTCATTTAATGAAAACGCCTTCAAGTATCCTATTTAAATGTGCATGTTTCCTGAAAAGATTCTGACTGATAGCCATTAATCTTCCTTTATGCTTCTATATTTTTGTGGCACTAGAAATTGAATTCAGGGCCTTCACACTGAGCTATGTCTTCAGCCCTTTTTATACTTTAAATTTTGAGACAGTCTTGCTAAGTCACTAAATTGCTCAAGCTGGGCTCAAATTTACAGTCTCCTTGCCTTAGCCTCCTGCAGTACTGAGATTATAGTACTGCACCACCATGCTAGGCTTTCATTCACTTTTTATGAGAACTTTGAATATAGGAAAAAAAAAACCCACCTCAGGAGCAACTAGCTTTGAATTAAGGAACATTTATAGTTTTGAATCCCTAAGTTTTCCTACCCCAAGCAAGATGATAAAGGAGGCTGTTTATTTTTTATGGAAAAGACCTCAAGTTTGGAGTCATGATTATCATGCTTTGGGTTCAGTTTCTGACTTTATCATTTACCAACAACCTTGACTTCACTGGCTATTAGTTTCCTCATTGTAAGCTGGAAGGACTTGGAAGAAATAACATACTCATAGACTTTTAGCCTGGATCCTGGTGGGTTGTAAGGGCTCAGTGAGTGGTAGCCATATTAAACTGTTTAGTCTAACAGTATGATATTCATGTGAAACTAGTTTGATGTCCCAGTTTTCATCATAATGTATATCAAGAAGAAAGACCTGAACAACTTTTTGGTACTTTGGTTTATTTAATATACAGTCAGAATGATAGCACTGGGAAGGGATCCTCTTATTTGGTTTTTCTTAGTTCATGTTAAAATTCCAGCTTACGCTGTGATCTGTGTGCTTTAGGGGATGATGAACAGAGCGATTGGTTCTATGAAGGAGAATGCGTCCCAGGATTCACTGTTCCTAATCTTCTGCCCAAGTGGGCTCCTGATCGTTGTGCTGAAGTAGAAAGAATGGATCCAGGACTGGATAAACTTTCAGATTCCACATTCCTTTTACCTTCAAGGCCAGCCCAGAGAGGTGAGTTTTGAGAAGACCAAAATACAGTTCATGCTTTTATGATCCTCCTTGGCAAGAATCATCATGCTATACTTGAGCGTGCACAGGCCTTCAAGTACATATGACTGTCTGAATTGTAGAGCTAGCCAGGGACTTCTACAGCACTGATGGCAAACTTTTTAGAACTTGCAGTGGTATAAACAGCCTGCTGTGGGATGTATGCCATAGGTCTGCCACAGCCATCCTCGAGAATTTAAGGGCGAGCCTCAGAGCTTACAGTTGTCACCAGTCCTGCCTCATTGAACCTGTGGAGATTCTCAGGACATACATTAGCATGACATCTCTTCAACTTGCCATTGCCATTTGTGCCGGATTTAGTTTTTATTTGGTTTTACAGTGCTGGTGTTGGAACCCAGCGTGTTACATGAAGTTAAACAAGTGCTGTTCCACTCAGCTACACCGCCACCTTTATCACATTCCAGCAAAGCATTTGATTTTTTTTTTTTCCCAGTACGGGGAATTGAACTCAGGACCTTGTGTTTGCCAGGCAGGTGCGGTGCCAATAAGCTAAATCCCTGGCCCCTGTGCCAGATTTAGGAAGGCTGGCATAGTGTCATAGCTGCTTATCCTGCTGTAAAATTGATGGGCTATTGAGTGTTCATTGGAAGCCCTAAAAATTGTCTCTTGGAAAAGAATAGAATTTAGTAAAAACATTCACATACAAGATGTAATGGCATTTTCTAAGTGGATAATTTTAAAATACTTCTTTAAATATTTTTATTTCAATGATTATATTATTCAGTTTTTTTTGGTACTGGGGAATCAAACTTGAGACCTTGTGCTTACGAGGCAGGTGGCAGAACCACTGAGCTAAATCCCCAGCCCACAGTGATTATATTATTGCATACTTTAACACAAATACATATCCTTTCCCTTTGTTCTTTAAATTGTGAGTTAGCAAAGTTGGCTGGAAAGAGCCTAGGACAAGGAGAAATGTGGTAATCTTCGCTGGTACTACCTTCTAGCTCTGTGACTGTGACTAAGTCACTTTATTTCCTTGAGAGGTCAGGGCCATCATTTAAGATATATAACACTGAACAAAACTGTTTAATAGGCTTCATTAGCTCTAGAAGTTTATAGTACTAGAATTCTCAGTAACCAGTGATCAACCAGTTAGTCCATTATCAATTATTTTTTATGTATCATAGGTAGTTAGAATTACACTAAGAGCTTAAACTCCTATTTTGTAGTTTTGTTTGATAATTTTGGGTGTTTGATAAACCTTCTCAAAACACTTGGTTCTTGATAAAGACTACAGCCTATCTAATGCACATTTTTTGCTAATTTAGTAACTTTTTATCAAACATTTCAATGAACATTTCTGTAAGACCTTAATGGGCCACTTAAAATAGATTCACAAGCAAGACTAGCAAGAAGAAACTTCATGTGGCCTGTAATTCCAAAGCTGGAGACCATATCATTGATAAGCTTTTTATGTGGATTCTTTCAGTTGCTCTTTCTGTGTGTGGAACACATACAGCATTAGAAAAATGGTGTTATACATTCTCTTTTCATCATTATCTCACCGGCATTTAAATTTGAAATTCGAAATTGTTAATAATACCTTATATTCACGTAGTGTTTGTAGTTTACAAAGTGCCTTCCATGTGTTTTAATTGGGTCTTTAAAACAGCTCCTGAGGTAGGAGTGAGCAAGTGATTATCCTTTAATGAAAGCCTGTAGATGAGGGTGTCCAGGCCAAAGGTGGATGGCATGCCTGAGTTCATGCTTCAGTCACAAAGAGATGGGAATAATAAGTTGTTGGCAAATACTCTTGAGGAGATCCTAGGGGTAAAGGCTCCAGTGTCCTGGAAGCACTTGACTGCTTGTGCTTTTCTGCATTCAGTAACTGAGGCCTTATATTTTCAGGATACCATGCTCGCTTGAATCGTCTACCTGGAGCTGCAGCTCGATGCCTCAGAAAGGGGCGAAGAAGGCTGGTTGGGAAGGTGACAGCTCTCACGGTTTCTGAGGCACTATAGGAAGATGATATTTATTCCCTGTGGGGTTTGTGTACCCTGTGGGCAATCAAGGGCCCTCCAGAGCTCCCTGGAGTTAATGAAACCAATTGGAATGTTTTGGGAGTTCACACAAGTAAACATTTTGTAGGATTTGAATGAATATACACACAAAAGATTAAAAAAACTTCATTCACAGAGAAGTTCTGACAAAGAAAGCACTGTCATTACAGCCTCTGTTGTGTATAAATTCACAAACCCACTGTCTCTGCTGCACTTTCAGTGAATCCTGTGTTATTATTATATAAGTAAAAATACTGGGTTTTTTGTTTTGTTTTAATGACTCCTGAATTCAGGAATGTATCTTTGTTTTACCCTAATTTTTTCTTTTTCATTCTAGAATTCATTAAAAAAAAAAAAAAGGAAAAAATTTCTCTCCAAATTCCAAGAGTCTCTTGTTGGCCAGGAGGGAGTAATTGTTACCATTATTCAGTTCTACTTTTGCCAGGGACTGTGCCAGGCACTCAGGCTTCCTCCCAGCCGCCTTGCTCAGGGTGACAGTCCCCTGTAGCAGCTGAGTAAAATTTAGTTAGGTTCAAAGGAGTTGAAGAATATCTGATATTACCTAGATCAAGATGGCAGAATAGAGATTTGAACCGAGGGCCACTTTTCTTAAAATCTTATTTTTCTCCCTCTAGCTTTGAGATGGAGAAGTAGCATAAGACAGGGGCTCATACTGTCCGAGAAGATAATGATGGGCAAAGAGAGAGAGTGGTATCCAGGAATATTCTTTGTTCACTCAGTAAGCGTTTGGAATGTGTGGCAGACACTGTGCTGAGCTGTGTACATAGTAGGCAGCCATAGTCTAGTTCCCCTTAAAGGGCTGTTGCTTGTTTTTTTTGTTTGTTTGTTTTTTGTTTGTTTGTTTTTTGGTTTTGGGGGGTTTTTTGGAGCAAACTCAGGACTTTGTGCTTGCCAAGCAGGCATGGAACCACCCCGGACCTGGGCTGTTGCTCTTTGAAGCCCACTGAAGTTTGAGGCATGCAAAGAAGTGAGGCTGTTTATTTCTAGACAAACTCAGATTCTTATTTCTTGTCCTTAAATTCCAATTCAAACCTCCAAGTAGGAAGACATTTGATTATTGGAAGTGATACCTTATTCCTTTTGGATCGCCCCATTTACACACAGTAAAGTGCTACCTTCACTGTTCTGGGAGCTAACTCAGAACAGCTGGCAGGCAGGAGTGGATGGGGTAGAAGGAGGCAGGAGTTTGGGAGTGGGGTGTGGAGAGGTGGATTTACTTTTTCACTGTATTGGCTAGGCTGGGCTGATAATGTTCTCCCTTCTACTTCTGTGGAGTAAGTTCAGTTTGAAGGCTCCCTTCAGCTTGTGTGGGAAGGGAGTGAGGGCTACTGGACGTGCCTCTAATGATTTCACATGAGTAGGATAATATTTACTTGTTTAATTCATCTTCATCACCTTAAAGGGATATTTATCATTTCTAGCAGAGGTCACTGCTCTGCCCCTCTGCTTCTCCCTCCCCCATTTCTCTTCTCTTTTTCCAAATTGTAATCATAAATAATGAGTTTCATTCACAGCTCCCTGCCAGCAAGCTGCTAATTACGCAAAGTACTGCTTGTAATTTACACAGTAATAAACTGTAAATTTAAACATTACAGCATTTTAAGTTAATAATTTTTCTGCTGTAACAATAGCTCATTTTTCATCCATTCTTTCACTTGGCCCCCTACCATTCTGTGCCTGTAATCAGGAGGCATAGCCGTAAGGGATGAGGAATATGAAGAATGCAGTTTGTGAAACCTTTTCCTTTAGTGCCCTTCCTGTCCAGAATCTGACCTCAAATTAATTTTTCTATAGCCAGTGGTTCTGCTAAAATGTGTACACTAATGTTTAGGCTAATCTGTACACAGTTGAATACAGATAATAACATTTGCTCAGAAACAAATGTGTTTAAGTAGCAGGCTTGACGTTCTTGACATTCATGCCGGTGACTTATGTTCTTTTGCCTTAATACTTGCTCATATTGTATGACTCTTATTCATATGCGGGTTGGTGTGCTTTCTCAGGTGCTGTGATAGATATTCATTATTAATGTACTCAAGTTAAATGAAGGGTGAGTGCCTTCTGCCATTTTTCAGTTTTTTGGAGATGATTAGTTTCTGTGTTGCATATGGTGTTATGGGTAGGCTTTAACATTACAATCTTCAGCACTTTGAATTTACGAATCAGTTTATACAGACTTCTTTTTTACTTTGAGGTGATATTTAAGGACCAGAATACAGGGTGACAATTTTTGTAAGCCACCAAAGTCCTTTAACATGTAGACATTGGTCAGCAGATACTTCAGTTTTATTTGTAAGGACTCAGTCAGTGTCCCAGGGTAGGGGCCTCCACGGCCACAATCATCTAGGTGATGGAGCTTGGTGTGCAGGGTTGATAAAAATTGGCTGCTGTTGTCAGATATGGTGATGCATGCCCATAATCCCAGCACTGAGGGAGGCTGAGGCAGGAGAATTGCAAGTTTGAGTTCCTTGTAGGCAATTTAGTGAGCCTCTGTCTCAAAACATAAAAAGGGCTAGGGATATAGCTCAGCGATAGAGCAATCCAGGGTTCAATCCCCAGTAACCCCACTGAAAGGAAATTGGCTGCTGTTTAATTTTCTGAAAAAAATGTTTCTATACATTTCGTAATTTAGGAAGTATAATAATATACTTAAGTATTTAATTAAGAAGTATTACTAAATTTAAATACCTTATATATAAAGAAATGATAAATATTTGAGTAGGTGTAACCTGTTTAAACAGTACAGGATGTGTGCATGTATTGAAACATCACATTGTATCCCACTGTCATATAGTTTTTATGTATAGATTTAAAATAAATTTCTTTTAAGCCAAGTTTGGTGGCATGTCTGTAATCTTAGCACCCTGTGAAGCTGAACCAGAAGAATTGAAAGTTTGAGCTCAGTCTGGGTAACTTAGTGAGACCTAGTCTTAACATAAAAAATCAAAACGGCTGGGGTATAGCTCAGTATGAAGGCCCTGGATTCAATCCCCAATACTGCAGAGGAAAAAAAAACCCCCATAACTTTCACATAAAATGTAAAAGTACTAGGTATAATAAACCATATTTACAATGACTTTTTTGGATCATTAGGAATAACGAGTATAGCATGTAATAGCTTTATGTAGATTCCCACAGAGAACTGTGGTTGCTATTGGAGTTTAAGATTGGCGTTTCACAGTGCATTTCAGATTCTCTGGACTGGCACAGTTATGGGAACAGGTGAGCAGGGTAACAGTGTCACCTCTGGGTTTGATGATATTCTCGTCTACCTTGTGTTTTTAGGAGACCAGCGTAAGTACTCTGGGTACGGAGAGGATAAGCCATCTCATCAGTGACCCCCGGCAGAAAGAGTAAGTGCTGATGTATTTACTGGCTGTCCTGGCCTGTTCCTTGGAGACAGAGGCAAAAGAGATTTTATAAAGCAATCTAAAAATCAGCTTCAGAGTTAAAAGAAGAGATCTTAAAGATTTGTACTTTCTAACAGTCAAGGTGTCTAACCTCCTAAAATCGTGACAGTGATTTGCTTTTCTTAGTTTTTATTTTCTTGCCTCTTACATTTCAAGGGCTACATTAGTAGCTGCCAATAGGCTATTATATTTTAAAGTCATTTTTCTGCCTCTTAAAAATTTTTTGTTTTTAGTGCTTAATTGGTGGTTGCCCCTAATTTCCTGTATTGTTTTCCTTTTTGTCCTAATTTCTGAGCAAAGTGCAATGGAAAGCCTGTATGTAGCTGTAGAAGATTGCTCTGCTCTTTCTCACAATAGCCTCAACCCCTCACATGGCTCTGTCACGTCTCTACCCACTGTGGTCAAGACCCAGTTATGATCTTGTGCACATCCAGTCTGGTCTGCGTTTTAGTTTATGAAACAAGAAGATGTGGATGGGTTTGATACTCTTTATGGAGTTGGAATCCTCCTGTCACACGGATGTATTCTTGCCTGACCAATTGCATACGTACCATTATGAAACTTTATATCCTTTCAAGAGTTACTTCCAGCAAAAAAATGTACACACAGTTAATACTTTTTCTCTTTTTCCCCTCCAACTCCATCTTTCCCATTTTTTCTGTCTTCATTTTTCTATTTTTATCTTCTTGTAATTTTTCTATTCTTTTATTACTCTGCTTTCTATTATTTCTCCTCTCTCTTTAGTTTCTGGTTACCATCTGCTGGGAAAAGAGAACGAAATCAGGTAAGATCACTTTTGCCATCTTTATTTTATCATTTGATTTCCTTTTCTTTAGAAAGAATAGAGCGTTGCCATCTGATTTTCCTCACATTTCTGCGTGTGCACATGAGGTAAGGCTCCCTCCTTCTTATGTTAGTCTGGTTTTCTTGGAGGACTATTTTCTAGGAGGATCTTATGCTCACTAGTGAGAAATGTAACCAGTTCCCCCTTTTCAGTACAATTGTGATCATTGCTATAAGAAATCAGAAGAATTCAACATCAGCACCCCACGCTGTGAAGTCCCAAGCTGACACCTAGTCATGTGAAGCAGAGAAGGTGGAACTGCTGTGGGTGAAGTGGCTCAGGGATAGGAGCTGTGCCTACTTAGTCTTTTTCCCCGGCTCTGCCTGAAGGGGCCGTTGGCATGTTTGGGCCTTTGTGTGGGCTTCACAACTTCAATGTTACTCATAGAGGCTACTGTGATGTTCATTTATATTTGAAGCTTTTTAATTTTGAGGGTACAGGAATTGCTTTATCTTAGCAGTGAGTTATAAAATTGATGAAGACTGATATGTAAAAACTCTCAGCCTTCCTGTTTGTTTTGGGAATGACAGTACCCTTTTGAGTTGATAACACAGGTTAGGCTTGGAAATTTCATTATGAAATTACCATTTCAAAACAAAATGTAACCGTGAAGACAGTGGTGTACATTTATTTATGAGATGATTTTAGGTGGCATAGGGACACAGTTTTAATTTAACATTTTGTATTATGTACATTATTAAAATGTAGTTGTTCCATCAGGCTTATTACTTCATGAAAATATGTAGGGCAAGACTGAGTGAAAATAATTGGTATAAAGAAAAATGTTAGGCAGGGCTGGGGATTTAGCTCAGTGGTTCCGCCGCCTGCCTTGCAAGCACAAGGACCTGAGTTTGATCCCCAGTACCAAAAAAAAAAAGTAATGCTAGGTAAGCAGTAGTGCCAGTGGTAGGTAGATAATGAAAAAGTCATGAAAGTGCATGTGAAAGACCTCAGTTGAAGACTCTTAAGCCAGAGCACTGGTCATGTTTGCATTAGAAGATCCCAAAGCAGAAAGGGGACCTGTGGCCATCATCTAGTCCAGATTTGTTATGTACCTATGAAGAGCTAGAGGCTCATAAAATTTAAAATACTTGCCCAGAGTACAGCTAGAAGAACTGGGTCTGGAGCTTCATTGGCAGAAAGAACAGTTGCTTAGTTTAAGTACTTTTGAATTTACCATTTGAAGTTCTTTTAGCCTTAAGGTGCTTTCAGTTATGGACTTTCAGGGAAGGAGTATTGTAGTAAAATCCAAAGAAAACTAGTAAGCATAAAGTAAGATGCTTCTAAATGTAGTATCCCATTTGATCCTCACAAACCCCTTTTCGCTTTTGTGTTTTAATGCTGGGGATTGAACCCAGGGCTTCATACATGCTAAGCACATGATTTACCACTGAGCTATACACCTCAAAATCATCTTTTGAGATCAGTGGATGTTTTACAGATAAGAAACTGATAATTATTTTACAACCTGAAAGCAGTATTTCAGTTAATCTTCGGAATAGCCCTGTAACTTAGGTAAGACAGGTACTGATACATGCATTCTGCAGATAAGAATAGTAAAGCTCAAAGAGGGTAATTTTCAGTACGGGACAATTCAGTGGTAGGCTGGGATTAAAAGTTATGTATTATAATTTTAGTCTTGTTTTACCACTATACTATGCTGCTAGAGTGTGGTAACCAGTTATTCTTTGAAATATTTGCAAAAGTAAAGGAATAAGAATTTTTTTCTGGTCTACTTGGGGAAAAGTTGTATTTATTAGGCATAAATTTCCTTTAAATGTATTTGGGAACTACTGTTTTCTGCCATTTAAATGATTATTGTATGTTACAAGGTTTTGAAAAATAGTTGCTTTAACAAGTAATAGTATTTTTTTTTTTTTTTGAGGTATGCTAGTTCAAGTGTGTCACATTTGTGGGCACGCTATTAAGTATTCATAATTTTATTGAATGGTATCTGTTCAGTAAGACAGAAGAGTTAGACAAAGAGGAAAAGCAATAGTAGGCTACCCTTTGGGACTGTCTGTTTCATTTAAGCCTTAGTAAGATTATCTTTTTTATGTCCACAGATGAATCCCCTCTCTCCCCTTTACTCCCTGGATGTTCTTGCTGATGCCTCTCACCGAAGATGTTCACCAGCACACTGCTCTGCCAGGTATTGCCTTCTGGTGGTTACTTCCTTCCATCTTCACTTCCATAACACTTCAGATTATAAAGTGTGCTTGTGTGTAGTATCCAGTTTGATCCTTATACCAACTTTTAGAGGTAAATAGATTCTGTCCAGATGCAGAAACAGGCTGAGTGTGCTGAGGTCTCTTTCCTCTGGTCACATGGCTAGTATGTGATTAAGTCTCAACTGTGTCCTAAGGCTTCTGGCTCATATTTCATATTATTTCTGCTGCTAAAAGCCCCCCTTCAAAGAATATTATTAATGCTCCTTGCCATGACCTGCAAACCCCTCCATAATCTGATTTCTACCCACATGTCCAGCCTCCTTTCAGTAATTCTTCCTGCCTCTCTTGGGGAAGAGATTCAGCTGCACCAGGGAGCTCTAGTTTGTTCTTCAGAAATAGCCCTTTCTTGCCTTGGACTGTCACTGTTACTCCCTTTGCCCGGAAACCTCCTCGAGCTTCTGCTTGTCTTAGCTCAAGTGTCACCTCTTCAGAGAGGACCTCTCAGACCATCCTATTGAAAAGGGCCACCTGCTGCACTCTGTGCTTATTATCTGTGTCCTTTATAGCTCTTCTCACAGTCTGTAATGAATTTTCATATTCATTAAAACAATTTTTTTTTCTTTTTCCCCTGTGTTTCTCCCACTAGAATATAAGCTTCAAAGTGCAGAGGCTTGTTTTGTTCCTTGACAAATCCTCAGCACTTGTGTCTGACACTTGTTAGGCATTTAATATGTATTTGTCAAGTGAGTGAATCCTATTCCTCTCAGTATAAATTCTCTTGATTTAGGTGACATGAGAAATAAATACTATTTCAAGGACAGCATTTCTTAGGGTTACTTGTGTACAAAAGAACAGCTAACAGGCTGGACTATAGAACTTTTATTATTTCTGTTGTATAATTTCTTTGCAAGGTTTTGATGATTTTCTTCTTGTAAGCTCTTAAATAGATATATTAATAGGTTTCGGGATACAAGCTTCATTTTATTCATCTAGTTGGAACTTTCACTATGGACTGTAATGATGAACTCTGAACCACTGCTAGGTCTTTCTCCTGGAGAAGTAGTATTTGAGTAGAGAAAGTCTTTTGAAAAGAGAGGTCATCATAAATGGTGTTGCTAAGCATGTGGGAAATTGTGGAGTCATGGAAACTGTCTCCATAATCCTTTCTTCAGTAGCATGGTATTTATTCATCATTCATTCATTTGCAGCCAAGCCGTTCGTTTATATTCTCGTGAGAAAAAGAGGTATCGAAACTGCCAGTTGAAATACAGGTTTATAACCAAGTGATATGAAACATACAGGAGGGGCTCCTAACTCAGAACCGAGGGAGGTTTTCTTAGAGTTTGTGTGCTCAAAATGACACACCAGATCTCCATCCACAGGAGAGCAGTCCTCTAACTTTTTATGTTGCCTCCAAGCAAAACAATGACTGTGTACTCTCTGGAAAAACAGTATGAGTGGCACCATGTCACACTCTGTGCTCAAAGTGGACTGCATTGCCCTCTTCCTTACCTCTGTTACCTGGAGCTGGGCTGTGCTGAGGTTGTTTTCAGTGCTTTTCTTGGGTTGCTGTTTCTTTTAAAAACCTCCTGCTGTGGCTGGCCTGGGTGTCAGCTTCTTCTTTTTGTGTATCTCATTACCCCCATCATTATCTTCACTCTTTCACCTGGCAGTGCCTGTGGCTGAACTTGGAAACATGAGGAAGTCTCAGCTGAGCTTCTAGTCTGCTCTGCTCTTAAGAAATGAGATTGTTAATGCTGGGCATGGTGGCGCATGCCTGTAATCCCAGCACTCAGGAGGCTGAGGCAGGAGGATCGCTGTGAGTTCGAGACCAGCCCGGACTACACAGTGAGTTCCAGATCAGTCTCAACTATATAGTGAGACCCTGTCTCAAAAAACCAGAAAAAAAAAAAGAGAGAGATTGTTGCTTCCATTGCTAAAAGCAGAGGGGAGAAAATGTGGACAGTTATGGGTCATCTTTGTCCTTACTTCTTGACAGTATTCCCAGGGTAGAGGATACCAAGTGGGTTGCGTGTGTGAAGGATCTTTGAAGTAGAAGGAATTTGCTCTAAGCTTGACATTTATTTATTATCCTTGAATTTTTTCTGTATTTTAAATCATATATATTTATATTTTATGTGTATTACATAAATAATGACTTTTCTCAAGTTTTTTTACTCACCAGAGTGTACAGAGTCAATAAAGTTTGGCTACCCCTGTTCTGTGGGAAATGGTCAGTCTAAGTGATCTGCAGGTTTTAGAAAATGTAAGTGATGAATTACTGAGCTTTCAAGGCTGCCTCTTACTACTTGGGAATAGGAGGGTTCCTGCCCAACAAAGGGTCAGTGGAGAAGGAGCAGTCTAACTCCAGTACGGGGGCCAGCAGGATGGGACTCAGAAATGGGTATTAGGATCTGAGCGGCTGGACTGCTTAACAAAAGCCTGGAACCAAGGAGCGAATATAAAGGAGTATTGGTGGTAGGGAAGAGGCCGCCAAATGACTGTATTAGAAAGTATTTCGAATGGAAATTTTATCTTTTTCTTGTCCAATTTTATTTGTAGTAGGAAAAGCTTTCTTTCAAAGCATCTAGGCAGCATTGGGAATTTTACACCCATCATTAGAACGAGTGTGTGTGTGTGTGTGTGTGTGTGTGTGTGTGTGTGTGGTGACTGTGTTATCATTAGTGGTATAATTTTATTTTGCAAAAAGAGAACTGTTTCCTGTTTTATCACAGCTTTCCCTGAGGAGGGCTGGTGTATTAATTTGCTGTATTGCCTCCTGGCTGTTCCCAGGCTGTTTTTCCTCTTCATCATGGAATTTTTAATGGCCCTCATGCCTCTTGGGAAGCATGTGAGGAAGAGTTCCTCAGGGAGTGCTTCCCTTTTTTCACATGCCTATAATTACTCTCCTTTAAGAGCACAAAGAGTCTGATAATCATGCCTGAACTATGAAGGTTCCCTCCTGTCAGGGCACTGAGCTGGGGCTGCTGCTCGCCTGGACATTGCCAGTTGCACTTTGCCAGGTGCCCAACTCCTGCATGCAAACAAGGCTACCTCAAAGAGCCATATACAGCTTCGTTCTCAGAATAGCACTGGTAGGGGTGACGAGTGGCCTCAGGGTACTTTCTTGTTTAGTATTTCATTGCTATAAACAAATAAATAATGGGACTGCAATTTTGAGATAATGCTGTATTGATGTATTATTTTATACAGCTCAGATGGCAGGGGATGGGAGAGTGAGTTGTGGTCTTCTTACTATTTAATAGATTTGTGGATTAAGAAATTTTTCAGACATACCACTCCAGAAATACTTAAGTTTTGGTGCTATTTGACCCTGGCTTCCCTTTGGAATTACATGAATAGCTTTTTAAAAAATATATACTTGCTGGGCCCCACCTATAGAAATTCTGATTTAATCGGTCAGGGATGAGGCCCAGGCTTTGGCATTATTTTAAAGCACCTCAGGTGACTAATATGCAGCCAAGGTTAAGAACTGTTGCCCTAAGTGCATATGGTTTTATGACTGGTGCTTTATAATTTGCTTAACAGGACACCCTCTTCATAATTGGCACGAACTCTGTGCTTTGGTCTGTGAGCATGGCTCCCCATGGGAGATAGACTCTGGACTTCTCTTGGCTTTGGAGAAGCTGCAGCAGATGAAGAAGAGTTAGTGTGTAGCGCAATGCACAGCATATAGTTATTGATAAACAGGGAAGGGCAGAGGTTTGCAGGGTGGATATAGAGACAGGTGAATGTGTACACACAGTTGGGTGTTTGGATGAAAAAAGCAATTGTTCTGTTTTGGTTGCTAGCATTGGGATTTGCTCTTGAAGTAGCAATAGTTGGTGTTAAGAATTGCTGCGCTCAAACAGCAGATGGTGTGATTGGTGTTCTGGTGGAGACAGTGGTATTGTTGTGAAGCACACAGTCACAAATTTGTAATGAAACTAGAGCTGCATGCAGCTTTTCCCAATATGAGGATTGATAGTGAAGGATAGCTTTTCTTCCATTATTATGTGTAGGAAACAAGAACTAGAACTAGAACTTAACAATTTCTATATTTCTCCGTGTGGTGCACAAGTCACAAGTTGTCACTGTTTAGTGCTTTGTGGCAGTTCTGCATTTTCTCTAACTTCCATGACCTTTCCTCTGTTTTGGGTGATGATTTGGTGGTGCAACCCCCATTTCCATTTATTCTTTCTTATCCTTAAGTTGTGAAACAGCAAAGTGCATGTTTGATATCTTCTTTTCAAATCAGTCAGTTCTTTTATAAATAGCCTGATTTTCATGTTAAGAAATTTTATTTTTTGTTCCAGTAAGGACAGCAGACACCAGACTGGTATGCCATTATTATACGTATTTTTAAATGAGGAATTTCATAACTTCCACTCTTTTCATTTTCCACAAGATATTGGCAGAGGCAATGTGAGATGAAGAGTATGGATATTAATATAAGATAGACCCAAATGAGGATCTTGGCTTTTCCTGGGCAAAAGACTTGACCTCCCTATTCCTCAGTTTCTTCTTGTTTGAAGTGGAAATATTAGCACTTTTCTTACTGGACTAGAAAGGATCACGATGAAGTAATATATGTAAATGTTTAGCATCCCAATAGCTAATATTATTTTTCTTATGTAGTTACTTCCTTAGGATAAATTGCAAATTTAAGAACTTCTGAGTTAGCTTTGAAAGTCATTTGTTGATTTCCTTACATGGCCTTGAAAAGATTTTAAGAGGAGGCATTTGGGTGGTGTTTGGGTGAAAAAGAGAGAGGCCTGCCTGCCCATTAGAGAGTTGAAGTAAGGTAGGCCAAGCTCATTGTAATTCATTTTATCTGTTCAGAAGCATTATGATCTGCATATCAGAGTTGTGTGCCCAGCTGGCTGTGCCATTTGACAAGGAGTTTCAAAGAGCAAGAAGACGACTCAATTCATGCTATTAATTTTGACCTTTGGAGCCATAATAAACAGCCTCAGGTTTT